TTTTTTTGTTGTTGTTGTATGCAGTTTCCAGCAAACTTTAATTAATTTTTTTCTATTTGTGAAAATTTCTACGTTATTTAAAGGTAATTTTTATTATAGGCCTATAGACCTAACACAGCATTATTAATATGATTTTGGAGGTTACATTACTTTAAAAAATGGAAAATAATTATATCATTTGATTTCAAGATATTTTGTATACCTTAAAAATAATTAATTCTATCCCGGGATTTCCCGGGATCCCGGGAAACAGTTCACTTTTATCCCGGGATCCCGGGACAAGCAAAAGACCGGGAAATGAGAAACCCTAGTGTGGATGTTAGACTGTGTGTGGGGCAAGATTTTGTTAACCCTGTTTGAAGCCTAATAATTTCTGTGGTCAAAGTGGTCAGAATCGGAGTCAGATGGTTTAACACAGGAGTTAGTTATTAAGCGTCAAAGTGGTTGAACTAAATCGTGTCCCCATATACATTCTAACATCTTAACGGGTTTTACTGTACTATTATAAAGTTGCAAAAGAGTTTACTTTGAGTTTACTCGCTAATAACGAGTAAAATATTCATTAAGAGATATGACACATGACCACATTTAAGTCTTCACCCTGTCGAACTTTAATTAAGAACCAAAATTTAATTGTATTAATGCCCCTTTATACGCAAGCTACAGTGCCACATTTCGTTTCTTAAAACTTTACCCATTCTGAGATATTGTTTAATATTAGTGATGTAACGAATGTTCGGTTACTATTCGGTATTCGGCCTATTTTTCGATATTCGGCCGAATACCTAAAAACAGGAGTAAAAAATAACAAAAACACATTAATTTAATCATTTTGGTATTTAGATTTAATGTTGTCGGGTTAGTGTTGTTTGTTTATAATTTATTTATAACTTATAACATGCACAAGATAAAAAAGAACATAATATTAGTCACTTGTATTCACAATTTATAATTACAAAGATCAGCACACGTACACGCCTATTCGTTCGAGAATCGTCGCACACATGTGAGGGTCTGACCCTGCCTATCCTTTTTAAGCGCTTGTCTTTGCTCTTCCCTTTCTCTTTCCTCTATCGGTCTAGTCCACGTATGACTATGCGTACATCATAATACGCCCTCACGATACTTTCGATTCGTGACTTTTCCGTCGTAGTTTTTCCATTCTATAATTACGTGACTCGTAGCCTGGTGATAACGGAGAAGAGAGACAGATAGGACGTCGATATAAGTCACAGTTATGATTTCACAGATTCGAGACAGCTTGGTAGCTCGAACGGTCCCAGGCTTTCGCCCGTGCACGCTAAGTGACTTTCGTTACAAGCATTTAGCTTTCCGAAGTCTATGACATCAATTGTTTGGCATTTACGGCCGCAAATTTTGCGCCAATAAGCGGCTTCGACTCGTTCGATTATGTTATCAATTCAATTTCGTATTTATTTTCACATTTTCACTTCGCGGTCCTTCTCTGTTCTTTTTCCGTTATTTACACGTGTAGGTCATTTCATTGTTGTTCACATTTGATATCACTTATCACATACTGCCACGACGCTCTTGTCTGTCCGCTACAACTGTTAAGAATTAACGCGATTGGCGAAGCGTAGTGACAGCGGGCCAATAGAGAGCGGGGTCCTTGCCATAATGAGGTTTGCGCGCCAATTTTCGTACGTGCGTTAATCAAGCCAAATAGTTTGGCCGAATATTCGGTATTCGGCCTGAGACCGAATATACTATTCGTTGCAACACTAGCTCAGAACAGAAAATAAAGAAATTAAACAAATTAGATGCCAACACACACTCGCGCGAATTTTTCCCCTTTTATTGACTTTTTTGAGGGGTTCGGGAAGTCTCCAAACGTTTAGATTTGCAAAAGAAACTTGGAGGGTCAAATTTGACACGATTCCAATACTTTTCCATTTTATATATCAATACATTACAGTACAAGTTGGAAGTAAAAAGGAGTCGGAGTCGGCGGATTTTTTGACGACTCCGACTCCGGCTAAAACACCAAAACTCCGACTCCACAGACTCGCTATTTTCCTTCACATTTGACATGCTTCTTTACTGTTGTTCACTCTCTTCTCTTCCTCCTCCTCTCTGCTGTATTTCGTCATTTTCCTTTTAGTTTTTTCTGACAAATCATGATTTTATTCCGGAGGGAGTTGATGTAATAAAAGATAAGTTTGATTTGATTAGTTATTTTTAGTCGTCGTCCTCTCGTCTAATATGAATTATGCGTGTCCATGTGATAAAGGAACAACTGTCACTTAACACTAGACTAGTTGAAAAAAGGGAAACGACGATCATTTCTTGTCTTTTTCTCCGAATGTTGTGAGATTAACAATTAATTGATAACTTTTTAATTCTGATTTGTTTCTCTAATTAATTTTTAATCGGTATTGCTAAAAATTCAGAAAAATAGGCGAAATTCCTTTACAACGTTACTTGATAAAATAAATAACCAACAACGCATTCACACATAGTGCAAACGGCGTTTTGTCCGATTGCTAACAATTATTAGATGAACCTATACTATAGATGTTAGGCCTATAGTATAGGCCTATATAAAATACATGTAAATTTTATTGTATTTTAAACTAACTTGCTATTCCTGTTGCTTTGTGGGATCCCAATATTACCTATTTGACCTGGGATTTAAGCACAATTTCTCCGAACTCGGGCTTGATTGGTCATTATTCTGATCAAGAACTCTTTTAATTGTTAATCAGTATAATTAGTGCACGCAAAAATTAATTTGTCACGCAATTCACAAATGGTATCTTGACCTAAGTAAATGCGAATATGTCGTTTATGACAGAACTATTTCATTACAATTTTTAATTTACACACACTACATATAGGAAATGAAGAAAAATAGCTTTGATTTATTCAACATAACTTTTTTTTCAAGCCAGGCAGGCTCAGTATGAATTAATAGTTATCAACCTATGCTGTTGCCATATCAGACCAAAGTAGGCCTCGAAGTATCTTATCAAATTGCATTCAGTATTACTCAATACGTTTAAAAAGTAAATAAAGCTTATTTTTTATATACTTAATTCTAACTATAAATACGTAGTAGTCTACTAATTAAACACCACAAAAAAGTAATTAAAAAAAGGTGCATTCCAAGCACTAGTGATCTTGTTTTCATTACGAAAACTTTATCAAGCGTAAACGTCGTAAAAAGTATTTTCGTTGTATATTGTACTGTACATATTCCGGACTTAGTTACTGTAATGAAAACTAAAGTATTTGTGTTTATAATAAGGGTAATATAAGTTACCTTCATTATTTCTTTTCTTATTCTTTTGTGTTGTTGGCTTTAGTCGTTTACAGTCTACAAATCTTTATTCGTATATTTTAAATACGTATAAAGTTAGAGATGAATGTCAGAAGTGATTATTGAAATTTATAAATGAATATTCTTTCTAGTTGCCCAACCGATGCTGCTATAATGGGAGCTCTTATTAAAGTAAAAAACGACGGGCAAGTTTTACAAGCGCCCTTTGATGCCTTTAAATTCCCCACTTCAGAAATAGTTCAATTTAAAGCACTGGTAACTCCTTGTCTTCCCAACTGTCAACCCGTACGTATGTTTTTATTTGAATATGTATTATTTTAGATATATATTTATAAATATATAAATTTTGTATAGGCTATGTGCAACGTGGCCAACTTCGAAGGAATTAATCACCGCGAGCAATCGTACGGCAAGAGAAGAAAACGAAAAGCAGAAGAATCCGAAGATTTAGTTGTTGTACAGACGGTCAGAATAGTTGACAAATTTGGTTTTGAACGAAATGAAAAAAGATTTGATGATGAGGATAAGTCCAATACGGGAAATCAAGGTAAAATATTTTCCTGATTACATTTTAAAATAGAAAAATCAGATAGACTTAATTTACTAACTTTTAAAAAGATTTTTTGCTATAATATTTTTCACGAAATTTATTATATTCTTTATTGCGCGAAATACAATATAGAGGTCTTCTTTGTGTCTTGCTACAGAGAAACGGCCTCTGATTATTCTCTTTAGTCTTTGCCATAAGTTTTTTCTTAGTCTGCAAGAGGCCAACTCATTCCTCTTATGAGATCCTAATAAGTAATACATTGCACTTTTCGTCATTATTTTCGTAAAATGCACTTAATTTATTCAGTAAATAGTTCTTGTTTTGATATTTAATTTCTTTTACTTTTCGTTACTGTCAGAGAACAAATTACTTGTGAAAATATTAATTTTTAAATTGTTTTTCTTTTAATTGCATTTAATTGAGTAAAAGCTAAATTTTACTTCATAAATCTAATTGCTAATAATAATTGATAAGTTTACATTTACTGTATAATTTTATTTCCGTTCTCAAAATTTAGAAAAAGTAAAATGTAAGATAATTTGTCAGTACAGAAAAATGCATAATTAATGTCTTAGTTATGAACTTTTGATTATTAGTGGAGTATCCAGGATTTTGAGATTATGGGTGCTGCTCAAGGCACGTTAAATTACAATGAAAAAATACACCTTTGTAATGCTAACAATAAGGTATCTTTTTTATAATAGAGATAAAAAAAGGCTTTTATTTCTTGTTTTTACTTTTCATTTATTATGTTATAATGGGATGTTTTAAGTATATCATAAAGAAAAAATAAATAACTCTCTTTTGGAGCAATAAAAAAATTATATCAAACCACACAATACTCATGGACTGACAGTTGCAGGACTCATCCAGGGTTTGTTCCAGACTCATTCAGCTTTAGCTTTTAATAATTAATTAAACATAAATATATTTAAAGTTTGTTTATACGGTACACACGTCTCATTGCACTGGATTGTTTTGGATTATTGAAGTTCAGATTAGCAGGATTAGGGCCTATATATAAAGTAAGTCAGACAAGACTAACATTAATACTTAATACATTGAAGATAAAATGTTTACTATATTTAACATCACAATTGATTTGTAAATCTGAGTTTTTTTGAGGGGTTAAAACATTTAATGGAAAATTGAGCATAATTGGTTCTGATTAGCAAGAATGCACTATACACAAGTTGTTCACTTACTCTTGAATAGATGTTTAAGAGAGATTTCTATAAGAGCATTAGTTGGGTTGGGACTGAGGAGTCGAATGCACGGAATTTTATGTTGCCGCGATAGGCACCCATTCCGCTGTTATCTGCAACCAGCACAACATGCAGAGGATGCCGCAAGCGATCTGAATAGTGCAACACGATTTAAATTTATGGCATGACAAACCACTACTTCGGCACATTCTATGGATCGACGAGGCACAATATTCACAAAATTAAGTTTCAAAATGTGTCATAATTCATGGGTACATTGCACAATACATGTGACGTACTGTACATGACACAAAGCGTGTTTTATGCTAAACATCTCCCAGACAGATGTGCGTCAGTGGCTCGCAGAGCATTTCGGCAACCACTGGATAGAACAAGACCCTGTTTTGTGGCCACCAGATTCCCCAGACTTTACCTCGAAGGTCACCTAAAAGCATTGGTTTATGATGCATACCAGGCGAACCGGAGAGAGACATACAAGGTCTGTAAAATGTAAGTCCAAACATCTTTGTATTACAGCAAAGGTGATATTTTGTTAGGAAACATGATCAAAACGAAAGTTCATCTTTGTATGAACTTCTGCAATGTTGTCTTTATTCTTTACAATCAAGACGATTTATCATAAGATATCAATTTAGAAATTATTTGTTTCATTTGGTTATTTTAGCGCTGGAACCACCATACACTGGTGCAATGCTGGAAAGATAAAAATTTATCCAGTGGCAAAAGAGAAGTGTATATGTTATAAGGTCAAATACAAGGCTTGTTATTTTAATAAGATTTTATTGAATAATTTTTCCAATAATGTTGTTTAATTTCAAACAATTGGCATTTTTATAAATAATTTATCAACTACTTTTATAATAATAAACGATGCTTTTAGCCCACGACTTTATTAGGCTATCTAACTCTCTAAATTAAATAGGATCTAACAATTCGGAGGGCTTATCATACCAAGGCCGACAGAAAAGAAGGCCAGATCTTTTACAAAAAAGTTAGTCTTTAACAATCAAAATTAGATAAGGATGCATTTTGGGCACAAGAACCGCTCATCAGCTTACAAACACAGTACCAACATATAATTATAACACTGACAGTTAACCAATACAAAGGAATTTTTAATACACACAGTGCACTGTATTTACAATTATGAATACAACCCATATACTAAAAATATTGAGCATAAAATTTATTTATATAATGATGTGATATATCACATCATTGGGGACCAGTAAATGTCTCATTTTCTCCCACATTTTCCGAATTCTGGTAGACTGTTCTATATTATTAAAATAATTGGTTTCCAGACATTAAACAAAACAAATACATTAAATCCATAAGACTGTGTGGAGCCAACTGCCTTGTTACAATTCATTTTACAATGTGATGTGACTTTACTCCCACATCTGTTTCAAGGTTATGTAAAAACATGTCATTCCATCCCTCATGTAGCTTCAGCCCCACGTTGTTATTAATTGTAATGTCTTCCTGTATTTTCAGAATTTCAATGTGTTCCTGTAGTCTTTTTTTTAATTGATTTGTTTTCTGTCAGAATACTTTTGACATTATCTTTTAGAATTTCACAACCTTCGGTACTGCAATGTTGTGCCACTGATGATGATATCAAATTGTTTTCGATGGCATATATGTTCTTTAATTCTTGTCCAGTTTCACCAATATATCTTTTTTTTTATGTGGACAACTGCAATCTAATGAATAAACTACATTATCTTTTTCTAAAACATTAACAGTAATTATAAAAATAATGAACATAATCATTTTTGCTATGGTTCTTGTATGGTTTGGTACTAAAATAATATCGAAATTTTTAAATTCATTTTTTAATTTTTCAAAAACACCGAAAACATATTCCATTTTAAGATACAAAGTCTTAACAACTCCTGGTTGTCTATATAATGTGACATTTTCTCTTTTACTTGTTTCTAACCCCTTTAGCTTAAATAATTACCCTAGAACATTATTGTTAAACATTCTTATTATCTTTTCTATTTCCATTTCTTGATCATTTTGCAAAGACGTTCTCTCTTTAATTTTGTTGATTATAAAAAAAAAACTTTTCAGATGTATATATAAAGGTAATATTAGATTTGAAGTGTGTAATTTTACTGGTAGCACAATCTTTAACATACTTTTTAGATTAAATAGTAAATTATTGTTTGAATTATTTAGAACATATTTTAGTTAAACAATAATTTACTACTTTTTCACATTGGAATTGAACATTTTTATTTATTAAATTAATTTCATTAATGAAAGAATCAATATCTAGTATGCTTTTGTCGTAGACTATGAAAGTCATCTACATATCTTTGATAACTTACTATACTTCGAGTTTTATTGATTTCTTTATCAATTATGATCATACACAACTGCCAATCTAGGACCTATGCAAGGTCCTGTTGGTAATATTTACCTTGAAATTCAAAAAAAGTTGTTATTTAACACTAATTTTATTAATTGATTAATTCTATGTGAAGAGCCCAGACTATGGGCATACATTCTATGCGGGTTAATTTAAATTCACTGTCCTAAATTTATTGAGGGATACATATTGTTAACATCCAGTAGTGGCATCCTATAGTTTTCCTTCATAACAATTGGTCAGTTCCTAACCAGCTTGCCTAACTCCAGTTCCAATTTCACACCTCCTGCTTTTATCATTTCTGACACTAAAGAGCAACAAGGCTCCCGGAGAGGATGGAATAAAGTTGTTATTGCTCATCTCAATTCTGTTAGTCTTGGATATTCACAACCCCATTTGCATTTTCTTCTCCTTCCTCATCTTCTATTAGTGTGTCCATTTGACCCTCAAATGATCCTACTCCTTCGTTTAGTAGTTCTTCAAAATATTCAGCCCATCTATCCAAAATTTTATTTTTCTCACTAATGAGTTCTCCTTCTTTCCCTCTACAGAAACCAATTTTTGGTTGAAACCCTTTCTTCTCTTTCTTAATATCTGTATAAAATTTTCTCATTTCTTTGGATAAATGTAAAGTTAATTCTCTCTTTTTCTTCCTGCACAATTTAGATGCCAGTCTTCTCTTCGAAGTCTTTGATATTGCTTTCAGATTTGTTTTGGATAATCTTTATCCTTGCATTTCTTCTTTCCTCTAATGTATCCCTACAATCTGAATCAAACCAATTGTTTTTCCTTCTCTTTCTACTTTTACCAAGTACTTCTGCTGCTGTTGTGATGACACTCGATCTTATATCTTCCCACCTTCCTTTGATGTTTCTTGGTCTCTGCCTTCATCAGGTTTTGTTCGAGCACCCGCTGATATTTAATTTTGATTTCATTCTGCTTTAGAGATTCAACTTCATATCTTATAACACTATTTGCCCTTCTAGGTTTGATTGATATTTTTTGTCTATAGTTTGTCCTCACTAAGTAGTGGTCTGTGCTACAGTCTGACCTTCAATAAGATCTTGCATCAATAAGTATATGGTCAATTTGGTTTACAGTATCACCACCCAGTGAAGTCCATGTACCTAAATGTATTCTTTTATGAGGAAACATTGTTGTAGTAACCACCATATTATGTCCTGAAGCTAGATCTACTACTCATTTTCTGTTGTCGTTGCTATTTCTTCCAATGACTCCTTGATGTACTACTACTCTTCTAATTTTAGCATTCCAATCCCCAAGAATTAGTTTAACATCACGTTTTGGTACTGTCTCTAGAACTTCCTCTAACTGACAATAAAATTCAACTTTTATCTCTTCACTCTTCTCCTCCGTTGGTGCATGAACACTAATCATTGTGATGTTAGAAAATCTTCCCTTTATATGTATGGTGGCTATCCTTTCATTAATGAATTGATAATTCAAATAGAATATTGCAATTCCCTTTTAATCATAAATCCAGTTTCCAACTGGCCATCTTCACAACCACTATAAAATATCAAATACTTCTCCCCCTCTAATATACCACTGTCTTTCCAATGTATTTCCTGAATAGAAGCAATTGTTATGTTATATTGTTCTAGCACTCTCTGAAGATTTTGAAATTGACCAACCCGGAATAAACTTCTAACATTCCAAGTACCTATTACTATGACATTTTTCCTCACCTTTTTCTTCCCATCATTCTTTTTGCTTCTATTTCCATTCATAAAAATCATATTGCATTCCATCTCATTAACCTTTCTGTTCGTATGATCAGTATCCCTTTTAGAGCCATCCGGTGAGCTTCCTGGTTGTCTTTACAAGAAATTTTTACAAGGTAGGGGTGTAAACCCGATGCTCAACCCCCATTTTGGAGGACCATTTCTCCTGTCCCTTTAATCTAGCCACCGTATGAATATGGCTTATGTTCAAAATTTTTCAAGATATGGTTCATTAGTTCGAAATTCGAATGAGTGGCGCTATGTCTATATTTAACCTATTAATTTGACTAAGGATTACTTCTAGTCTACCTTGATATTTAGGCATAGTTATTTTACATAATAAATGATGCTTTTAGCCCACAACTTTAGATAGCCTAATAAACAATTTGGAGGGCTTGTCACACCAAGGCCAGATTTTTTACAAAAAACTTAGTCTTTAATAATCACCTTCAAATTTATGTAAGGCTGCATTTCGGGTACAAGGACCCCTTTTTTGTAAAAGATCTCGACTTTTTTCTGTCAGCCTTGGTGTGATAAGCCCTTCAAATTGTTAAATCCTATTTATTAGGCTATCTNTTATAGAGAAGAGTCAATAAAATTATGTATTAAAAGATATTAATAATTCTTCTTTAAACATAAAACATAATTTACATAGGCAGAAAACTTACAATTATAATAAATTAGCTTATTATACTGTATTTATAATTATATTGTAAATGTAAGTTTTATGTCTATGTAAATTGTCTATTTATGTGAAAAAAAAAAATTATAATATTGTGTAGAATTTTCCTTATTCGTTTTTGTGACGTTTTGACAACAAGATATGAAAATTTCTTAAAACCAAATGCAAATTTACATATGGACGTCTGAATTGGTTGTTGATTTTCTTTTGTTAACGATAGGAATAGAGTCAGAAGTTCACAAGAAATACTGTAATTAGCTTAACTAATATAAATTATTTTAAATAAAAATAATGCAAATTAATATAATTTAACGTTTTCTTTCTTTCTTGCAGGCTAGAGGACAATTTAGCAATGACATTGTTATCCAACATCACGATATGATTGTCACTAATCAAGATTTGGGATTATCTGTTCACTGTCAATATGATCTAACTAATAAATCTGTATCTCACGGTGTACAATTAGAAGTAAATGGGTAAGTAGTTGTTATAATGCAAACGTTTTTATTTATTTATTTTTAAATGCTGTTAATTATAAGTTAACTATTGATAGAAAATTGCAGATCATTCGGTATAATGCTTATTTAAAATTTAATTACTCTAAAATTCTATCACTGAAGTTTTATAAAAAGTACTGGAATCTCTTTAACGATAAGAGAAAACTTCATTTGTCAAAATGGATTCTTATGCTGATGAGAATTCAATAAGATGCAATCCATCTCTCATCCTTTATAGGAATGTATGAAGTTTTTAAATAACAAATTAAGTAAAAAATAGATTTATCCTTGATCCTTTCTATGCCTAATTACTTCTAGTGTCCAGGGTCACACCTTGACCCTAAACAGTCCACCAAATACCGGACGAATGGGGGTGGAATTTGACAGGCGTAATTATTCCGCTCTGATGTCAAGGATACAAAAGAGGGCATCCTTTTAAGTGAACAATAAGAAGAAATGGCATGAAAATGTTCTTCAATCATTTGTTATGCTATTGGAATAGCGGTACAAAATACCGACAGTTGTAATAAGGAAACTATGTCAGATGTTCATAGTGAATTAAAAAAATGCTTTTAAGTTATATAATGAAGAAATTTAGATTAATGTAGAAAATGAAAACATTTTTCTTGTTATGAATAATAGAAATATATCTTACACTTAAGAGCATTTATAGTTTAAAAAGGGATTTATATATATATGTTCTATAAGTCTTTTTACATGTAGGATGATAATTGTGACAGTTAAATCATCGATGAACGAATCTATTTAACTTCTAGAATTGCTATAAGTTGAAGAGATTGAAGTTATTATATTTAATTCGTATGCTATTAATAATCATGTTTACTCTTTATTCAGGGAGGTGGAAGCAACAGGCACGCACTCGGCAACAGTTAATTCTCCGAATGTTACAATGAAGATTACAGATCGTTTAGGAAAAGACATTTATACAGCTCAAGTAGGAGATCAACTTGCACTGAGATTCGAAGTATCTACAAAAAACAGTTGAGTTCATTTACTCTTCTTCCCAAATTACTAACGCAATAATACCCTTTTACGATTTTACAAACTACTTTTTTGGCCAGTTTCAGTTATTATAATATCTCGAAAAAATTCGTAATTTTATATATCTAGTTTAATTATCAATTTAATTATAATTTCGTGATGATACAATAATAAAAATAGAGAATTAGTTACTTTTAATTTTTCTGAGAGAGTTCTTTAAAAAGTCCTGTCTATCTAATTAATCTGTTTTTTTTAAGTTTTAAATGGACTAATTAAATGGATATAAGTTAATTTATAAAGTTAACGAGGTAATACACAAAATATTCTGTGATGTCTTTTATGGACACACATCTATTTTTTTGGATCATTGGAGATGAAAAATTTACAATACTTTTTTAAAAATTGACCTCCCAGAAATGCAGTTCGATCAAAAGAGGGAATGAATTGTATTTTTATCTTTTTATATATGATGTAGTATGAATATAGCTTTTTTTTTTAAAAAAAAAGAAGCAAGTAAATGTGAATCATCCGTCTTATCCACATGCTTGCGGCAAAGCGGAACACATTCATCATTCTTACGTACAAAAGGATACAAGTATGTAGAGTAATGCAATTTTCTTCTTAATTTGCGCAGGAAACGTGTGTCGATTTTCCAAAAAATCGACTTTCACGTATCTTTTGTATTGGTAATACAGTTTGAGTCGTACTGTATAAGCAGTCATCTGAAATAATATAATAGAAACACGAAACATTCAAATAGGATTTATATTTCGTCTCAGTTTAATGAATGAAATATTTTCAGTAAATGAGAGAAAACAAGTAAACCTTCTAAATAAAAACCCTCTTAAGTTTATCCGGTTTTGTAGTGGAAAGGATGTGGGGTGGAGCAATTCTCTAAAACATCATTAAAATGCATTGTCCTTTGGGACTTAGAAGGCTGAAACTTTGAGGACATATCTACCTTAATTAGAAGTGAATGAGTTTCTAGATTTGAGGACAAAATACAAATAAACTTAATTAAAAACTTGATTTTTAAAGGGTTTTCTTTCTTTATTTTATTTATTTTTGTTTCCTTTGAATTGCTAATATTATATATAAACCTTCTTCAAGCACGTTTTTATAAGAAAACAAACTGTGCGGGGGTCGGATGAATATGATACAAGGGCCATATATGGCCCGCGGACCCTAGGTTGGAGACCCTTCAATAGACTTTTGTTTGTCAGTTGGACGAACATACTATATGATCATAAACCTGGAGTTTACTGTTAGCCTATTATTTTGCAATAATTTGATATTTTTTAATGTACTTTTTAAGTATTAAGATCTTTTTTTTTGTTTATAGTTTATAAATGCATATCTATAGAGGTGATAACGAATTTTTGTCTATAGAGGCACTATACTATATATACAAGAAATTCAACAGAGGTGACCTCTGGTGATAAAAATCCGAAATAGCAAGAACTGCCTTTATTAAATTTTTAGATGTCTCCGTTAATTAATGAATTATTTCAATGTCAATTTTGTTAATTTAAAAATTTTATATTTTAAATGTTCAGTTTATCAATTAATAATGTATTCATTTCAGGTCCTTACGAGATATTTGTCAGAGAATTAATAGCAATGGATGGAATCGATAACAGTGAAATTCTTTTAATAGACAGTTTGGGGTGAGTATAATAATAATAACAATATTTTTGCATTGAAGTAAATTAGCTTCGTGTGGACATTCAAATATTACGTAAGAAGAATTTCTGTTACTTTTTGCCGCTGTAGTAAAAAGTGTCAGCTAATCGCTGTAAGGGACCCGGGTTTGATTGCAGGTCGGACCATTAAAATTTATATGGGTAGTTTGGACGGAATATGTGGGTCTCCCTTCCTTTGTGGTCGGAGTTTCGCTATGATGGACATAAAGAAAGACCCAGGCCCATTGCTCCGGGTGGAGAGTTAAAAATAATTCCTCAAAGTCTTTCCTGTGTTTATGGCAGTAAGGAAATGAAATAGATGATGGGTTACGACAGATTTTATATCAACTTATAAAAATAGTAAACTGAAAATTATTATACTATTAATTTTAACAAGAAGCACGTGCTGATGTCTCAATCACTTGTATAGTAGCCCCTGTCGAACTTTATAAGATTTGTGTTTTGGATCATTATCCTGATAAAAATAGTAAGTATTTGAGATACCCAGTTTTTCTGCAGAAGTCTTTAGACTTTAAAATATGAATTCAGAAGGATATTTAAATATTTCCATCCATAAACACAAATCTTCCAACTCCAGAGGCTGCCATACAGGCCCATACCATAACACTTCTCCTCAATGTTTTACTGTTGGCACAAGGTTTTCTTTATAATTTTCTTTCGTCTACAAATATTACATGCTTCCAGTATTCATAATCTTTATCCAACATATTTTTTTTTTTTTTACAAACTGGTAGCAAGCTTTCCTGCTTCTTTCATTAACAAAAAATTTCCTCCCGGCCACTCTACCATTATATCCACTTTCTCGCATGACTCTGCTTACTGTTTATGAGTGAACGTGAACTCCAGTGTAATTTTCTAACTCAGCTGCAAGTTTTGGTGCACTTGTTTCAGGAATATTTTTTTTTATTTTTCGGTTTATACTACGCTTAACTTGTACTGTTAACAATGAAAGGCGTTTATTCACAATTCATCTGTATCTTTTTATAATATCATGTACCGTTGAGTTGCTTCTTACAATATTACTAATATCTGTAACTGATAGACCCAACTGTCTTGTTAATTTTGTGATTTTGATACTATAGGATGCTAATTAGTGTATTACTTTTGTGTCAATTTTCCTATTGTCAATAATGTAATACAGTAGTATATAGTTAATTTAATTACAATAGAGGAAATAACAAGAAAGTTTTTTGCCACCGATACTTTTAATTTTACGTTCGGTTATTTCCAATTTGGAAATACTAAATTAGTAAAATAGTTTTAAGTAATAAGAGTATAATGACCTAAATAATGATGTACAGTACATCTGTCTGGTAACTAGCTATGCTGTGTTGTTACTATTTTAATCGGTGTCCGGTAATTTACTTTATAGCTTCCGAAGTAAAACCAAATGATGCGTGAATATTTTGAAAGTAAAAAAAAATTATTTCCCTTCTAATTTCGATGTTTCTTTAAAATATAATATATAGGCCCTATTTCAAGAGGCATAAATAACCTTTAAATTGTTTTGTTGCAGATTGCTGTACTAAAAATTACTTTTTAACCTCCGCGAATATTTGTATAAAATATGATAGAACCACCCTGTACAATGATATATAAACGAAATCAATTTTCTTATATTTAAACATTATCAAAAGAAAACCAACGATGGAAGCGTTTAATGTATCCTATACAGTCGCCAACTAGTCAAAAACGAGTGTGTTTTTCGAACATGTTTTATGAAAACCCGAGCATTGTCGGGTATATTAGCTAGTCTATTATCAGTTACAAGACATTTAATTTTTAAACAAATCAATTATAATTACTGTGTCTAGATATTGAATACATCTAGAACAGTTCCTGCTCTTGCACCTTATTCTTTTCCTTCCTTAAATCTATTTTCGCTGACTATTTTCCAGGGTTGTGGAGTCGCGTAAAAATCTACCGACTCCGACTAGGGGCAGACTTGTTACCGAAAGAGATCCGGAAATTCTGATGTCATCACGTGACCTCATAATAAAAGATTCAATAAATAGAGTTCTAATAAAGATAGANATATAGTTCTGTGATGTTATTTAGAATAAATTTTATTTATTTTTTCCCGCGACTGTGCTTTGTTTTACAATAATAGATGTTATATTAAACTATACTATTTCAATTAATCAATAGATTGATAATTCTAATTCCTTAATTTATTCGATAAAAAATATAAGAAAAATAAGTCAGATTTTAACAAATTTTTGTATTTTAAAATATATTCAACTTTTAATTAATTACAAGAAGTCGTTGTTTCAATATATCATACATTCTAGGTAATGGGTAGCTATTGCATTTACAAAATTTCTATTTAGCTACAACCATATCAAGTTCTGTGTAAAAACTTTTGAATTCTACAAATTTTTGTTAATAAAACTTATTATTTTATCAACTAGGTAAATATATGTATTGGATATAAAATTTATAATAGTTTATTTTTAAAATTTCTTAAAATATACAAAAATTTGTATATTAGCAAGTGAAGATATTTACTTAATATAAACTTATCATAATCAGAAGTATTTAATTATCTAAATTATTGATAAACTTATGATATACTGTAATTTGTGATAAAATATATTCATTTCAATATTCAATCTTCATCACTTTGCCAATCACTTTTATTTCTGTTCATATTGTGTGTGCTATGAGATGGTGTACTACTTCGAAGAGCTTCTAATTCTTCTAACTGAGACTGAAATAAAACACAAATAATAAATTTTAAATCAATAATTCATATGCCTTTATGTCCTTATTATACAATTTATTATATAAATGTCTACTAGGACATATCATATTAGTAAGACTTATTGTACTGGAGTCCAGTTCTGCAAATTGAGGAAACTTATTCAGTAAAAACAAACAATCTTTATTGTTCACCTGTACACACTACTTGTGTTTCAGATCTCTTGGTCCCTCATTAGCAGGTTTACAGCTACTAGGTGCTAAAATAAGATTTTAAAAAATTACAAAAATGTTATTATAATTTTTCCTGACAATAATAATATTAAAATGATTTAGTTTTTTGGTGGATAATTACATCGAAATGGTCCAAAACACAAACATAGTGTGTACAGGTGAAACAAATGAACAATAAATATTGTTTTTTTCAGAACAAGTTTCCTCAATTTGCAGAACCCGGACACCAGTACAATTAGTCCTACTAATACGATATGTCCTAGTAGACATTTACAAAATAAATTTAAATCAATAACTTTACAAAAATTTATATTTTATTCTAGAAATGCCTTTACATTATCATACTATGAGCAAATATAACTATCCACTTTATTTTAAATATAATTTGTAAAAATACAATATACAATTTTTACTAATACTAATTTGGATGTAGCAAATTAAAACATAACATCTCTTGATTATATTAATCATATTGCATAGATGCCTATACAAGTTCTATGTATGCAATGAAAATAATTCTAGGGATTGTTTACATCATATTGTAGGAAATAATGCTAGAATAAACTGGAATTTCTTGAAATTAGTTTGAATTCAGTAGAATTAATGTTTTATTATTAATAAAGTACTAAAGTAAATATTAGCCAAGGCTCATGAATATGCCTCTATCATTTCTGCTAAAATGAGGTCAGTGTTAAAGAAATACTGATCTCTTTTCGGCAGAGTCTAAGTATTTAACAAATTAAAGTTTTTATAATGCAGGACATTAAAAATGAAAAGACCAATGAAATGCTTTTATCAGGTCAGTCCATAAGTTCATGCGCTTTTTTATCTACAAAAAAAGCAACAAAAAATTTTAATTAAATCTTATTTCAATCTATAATGTATTCACCATTATTTTGNTAACGCGATTGGCGAAGCGTAGTGACAGCGGGCCAATAGAGAGCGGGGTCCTTGCCATAATGAGGTTTGCGCGCCAATTTTCGTACGTGCGTTAATCAAGCCAAATAGTTTGGCCGAATATTCGGTATTCGGCCTGAGACCGAATATACTATTCGTTGCAACACTAGCTCAGAACAGAAAATAAAGAAATTAAACAAATTAGATGCCAACACACACTCGCGCGAATTTTTCCCCTTTTATTGACTTTTTTGAGGGGTTCGGGAAGTCTCCAAACGTTTAGATTTGCAAAAGAAACTTGGAGGGTCAAATTTGACACGATTCCAATACTTTTCCATTTTATATATCAATACATTACAGTACAAGTTGGAAGTAAAAAGGAGTCGGAGTCGGCGGATTTTTTGACGACTCCGACTCCGGCTAAAACACCAAAACTCCGACTCCACAGACTCGCTATTTTCCTTCACATTTGACATGCTTCTTTACTGTTGTTCACTCTCTTCTCTTCCTCCTCCTCTCTGCTGTATTTCGTCATTTTCCTTTTAGTTTTTTCTGACAAATCATGATTTTATTCCGGAGGGAGTTGATGTAATAAAAGATAAGTTTGATTTGATTAGTTATTTTTAGTCGTCGTCCTCTCGTCTAATATGAATTATGCGTGTCCATGTGATAAAGGAACAACTGTCACTTAACACTAGACTAGTTGAAAAAAGGGAAACGACGATCATTTCTTGTCTTTTTCTCCGAATGTTGTGAGATTAACAATTAATTGATAACTTTTTAATTCTGATTTGTTTCTCTAATTAATTTTTAATCGGTATTGCTAAAAATTCAGAAAAATAGGCGAAATTCCTTTACAACGTTACTTGATAAAATAAATAACCAACAACGCATTCACACATAGTGCAAACGGCGTTTTGTCCGATAGCTAACAATTATTAGATGAACCTATACTATAGATGTTAGGCCTATAGTATAGGCCTATATAAAATACATGTAAATTTTATTGTATTTTAAACTAACTTGCTATTCCTGTTGCTTTGTGGGATCCCAATATTACCTATTTGACCTGGGATTTAAGCACAATTTCTCCGAACTCGGGCTTGATTGGTCATTATTCTGATCAAGAACTCTTTTAATTGTTAATCAGTATAATTAGTGCACGCAAAAATTAATTTGTCACGCAATTCACAAATGGTATCTTGACCTAAGTAAATGCGAATATGTCGTTTATGACAGAACTATTTCATTACAATTTTTAATTTACACACACTACATATAGGAAATGAAGAAAAATAGCTTTGATTTATTCAACATAACTTTTTTTTCAAGCCAGGCAGGCTCAGTATGAATTAATAGTTATCAACCTATGCTGTTGCCATATCAGACCAAAGTAGGCCTCGAAGTATCTTATCAAATTGCATCAGTATTACTCAATACGTTTAAAAAGTAAATAAAGCTTATTTTTTCTATACTTAATTCTAACTATAAATACGTAGTAGTCTACTAATTAAACACCACAAAAAAGTAATTAAAAAAAGGTGCATTCCAAGCACTAGTGATCTTGTTTTCATTACGAAAACTTTATCAAGCGTAAACGTCGTAAAAAGTATTTTCGTTGTATATTGTACTGTACATATTCCGGACTTAGTTACTGTAATGAAAACTAAAGTATTTGTGTTTATAATAAGGGTAATATAAGTTACCTTCATTATTTCTTTTCTTATTCTTTTGTGTTGTTGGCTTTAGTCATTTACAGTCTACAAATCTTTATTCGTATATTTTTAAATACGTATAAAGTTAGAGATGAATGTCAGAAGTGATTATTGAAATTTATAAATGAATATTCTTTCTAGTTGCCCAACCGATGCTGCTATAATGGGAGCTCTTATTAAAGTAAAAAACGACGGGCAAGTTTTACAAGCGCCCTTTGATGCCTTTAAATTCCCCACTTCAGAAATAGTTCAATTTAAAGCACTGGTAACTCCTTGTCTTCCCAACTGTCAACCCGTACGTATGTTTTTATTTGAATATGTATTATTTTAGATATATATTTATAAATATATAAATTTTGTATAGGCTATGTGCAACGTGGCCAACTTCGAAGGAATTAATCACCGCGAGCAATCGTACGGCAAGAGAAGAAAACGAAAAGCAGAAGAATCCGAAGATTTAGTTGTTGTACAGACGGTCAGAATAGTTGACAAATTTGGTTTTGAACGAAATGAAAAAAGATTTGATGATGAGGATAAGTCCAATACGGGAAATCAAGGTAAAATATTTTCCTGATTACATTTTAAAATAGAAAAATCAGATAGACTTAATTTACTAACTTTTAAAAAGATTTTTTGCTATAATATTTTTCACGAAATTTATTATATTCTTTATTGCGCGAAATACAATATAGAGGTCTTCTTTGTGTCTTGCTACAGAGAAACGGCCTCTGATTATTCTCTTTAGTCTTTGCCATAAGTTTTTTCTTAGTCTGCAAGAGGCCAACTCATTCCTCTTATGAGATCCTAATAAGTAATACATTGCACTTTTCGTCATTATTTTCGTAAAATGCACTTAATTTATTCAGTAAATAGTTCTTGTTTTGATATTTAATTTCTTTTACTTTTCGTTACTGTCAGAGAACAAATTACTTGTGAAAATATTAATTTTTAAATTGTTTTTCTTTTAATTGCATTTAATTGAGTAAAAGCTAAATTTTACTTCATAAATCTAATTGCTAATAATAATTGATAAGTTTACATTTACTGTATAATTTTATTTCCGTTCTCAAAATTTAGAAAAAGTAAAATGTAAGATAATTTGTCAGTACAGAAAAATGCATAATTAATGTCTTAGTTATGAACTTTTGATTATTAGTGGAGTATCCAGGATTTTGAGATTATGGGTGCTGCTCAAGGCACGTTAAATTACAATGAAAAAATACACCTTTGTAATGCTAACAATAAGGTATCTTTTTTATAATAGAGATAAAAAAAGGCTTTTATTTCTTGTTTTTACTTTTCATTTATTATGTTATAATGGGATGTTTTAAGTATATCATAAAGAAAAAATAAATAACTCTCTTTTGGAGCAATAAAAAAATTATATCAAACCACACAATACTCATGGACTGACAGTTGCAGGACTCATCCAGGGTTTGTTCCAGACTCATTCAGCTTTAGCTTTTAATAATTAATTAAACATAAATATATTTAAAGTTTGTTTATACGGTACACACGTCTCATTGCACTGGATTGTTTTGGATTATTGAAGTTCAGATTAGCAGGATTAGGGCCTATATATAAAGTAAGTCAGACAAGACTAACATTAATACTTAATACATTGAAGATAAAATGTTTACTATATTTAACATCACAATTGATTTGTAAATCTGAGTTTTTTTGAGGGGTTAAAACATTTAATGGAAAATTGAGCATAATTGGTTCTGATTAGCAAGAATGCACTATACACAAGTTGTTCACTTACTCTTGAATAGATGTTTAAGAGAGATTTCTATAAGAGCATTAGTTAGGTTGGGTTGGGACTGAGGAGTCGAATGCACGGAATTTTATGTTGCCGCGATAGGCACCCATTCCGCTGTTATCTGCAACCAGCACAACATGCAGAGGATGCCGCAAGCGATCTGAATAGTGCAACACGATTTAAATTTATGGCATGACAAACCACTACTTTGGCACATTCTATGGATCGACGAGGCACAATATTCACAAAATTAAGTTTCAAAATGTGTCATAATTCATGGGTACATTGCACAATACATGTGACGTACTGTACATGACACAAAGCGTGTTTTATGCTAAACATCTCCCAGACAGATGTGCGTCAGTGGCTCGCAGAGCATTTCGGCAACCACTGGATAGAACAAGACCCTGTTTTGTGGCCACCAGATTCCCCAGACTTTACCTCGAAGGTCACCTAAAAGCATTGGTTTATGATGCATACCAGGCGAACCGGAGAGAGACATACAAGGTCTGTAAAATGTAAGTCCAAACATCTTTGTATTACAGCAAAGGTGATATTTTGTTAGGAAACATGATCAAAACGAAAGTTCATCTTTGTATGAACTTCTGCAATGTTGTCTTTATTCTTTACAATCAAGACGATTTATCATAAGATATCAATTTAGAAATTATTTGTTTCATTTGGTTATTTTAGCGCTGGAACCACCATACACTGGTGCAATGCTGGAAAGATAAAAATTTATCCAGTGGCAAAAGAGAAGTGTATATGTTATAAGGTCAAATACAAGGCTTGTTATTTTAATAAGATTTTATTGAATAATTTTTCCAATAATGTTGTTTAATTTCAAACAATTGGCATTTTTATAAATAATTTATCAACTACTTTTATAATAATAAACGATGCTTTTAGCCCACGACTTTATTAGGCTATCTAACTCTCTAAATTAAATAGGATCTAACAATTCGGAGGGCTTATCATACCAAGGCCGACAGAAAAGAAGGCCAGATCTTTTACAAAAAAGTTAGTCTTTAACAATCAAAATTAGATAAGGATGCATTTTGGGCACAAGAACCGCTCATCAGCTTACAAACACAGTACCAACATATAATTATAACACTGACAGTTAACCAATACAAAGGAATTTTTAATACACACAGTGCACTGTATTTACAATTATGAATACAACCCATATACTAAAAATATTGAGCATAAAATTTATTTATATAATGATGTGATATATCACATCATTGGGGACCAGTAAATGTCTCATTTTCTCCCACATTTTCCGAATTCTGGTAGACTGTTCTATATTATTAAAATAATTGGTTTCCAGACATTAAACAAAACAAATACATTAAATCCATAAGACTGTGTGGAGCCAACTGCCTTGTTACAATTCATTTTACAATGTGATGTGACTTTACTCCCACATCTGTTTCAAGGTTATGTAAAAACATGTCATTCCATCCCTCATGTAGCTTCAGCCCCACGTTGTTATTAATTGTAATGTCTTCCTGTATTTTCAGAATTTCAATGTGTTCCTGTAGTCTTTTTTTTAATTGATTTGTTTTCTGTCAGAATACTTTTGACATTATCTTTTAGAATTTCACAACCTTCGGTACTGCAATGTTGTGCCACTGATGATGATATCAAATTGTTTTCGATGGCATATATGTTCTTTAATTCTTGTCCAGTTTCACCAATATATCTTTTTTTTTATGTGGACAACTGCAATCTAATGAATAAACTACATTATCTTTTTCTAAAACATTAACAGTAATTATAAAAATAATGAACATAATCATTTTTGCTATGGTTCTTGTATGGTTTGGTACTAAAATAATATCGAAATTTTTAAATTCATTTTTTAATTTTTCAAAAACACCGAAAACATATTCCATTTTAAGATACAAAGTCTTAACAACTCCTGGTTGTCTATATAATGTGACATTTTCTCTTTTACTTGTTTCTAACCCCTTTAGCTTAAATAATTACCCTAGAACATTATTGTTAAACATTCTTATTATCTTTTCTATTTCCATTTCTTGATCATTTTGCAAAGACGTTCTCTCTTTAATTTTGTTGATTATAAAAAAAAAACTTTTCAGATGTATATATAAAGGTAATATTAGATTTGAAGTGTGTAATTTTACTGGTAGCACAATCTTTAACATACTTTTTAGATTAAATAGTAAATTATTGTTTGAATTATTTAGAACATATTTTAGTTAAACAATAATTTACTACTTTTTCACATTGGAATTGAACATTTTTATTTATTAAATTAATTTCATTAATGAAAGAATCAATATCTAGTATGCTTTTGTTGTAGACTATGAAAGTCATCTACATATCTTTGATAACTTACTATACCTCGAGTTTTATTGATTTCTTTATCAATTATGATCATACACAACTGCCAATCTAGGACCTATGCAAGGTCCTGTTGGTAATATTTACCTTGAAATTCAAAAAAAGTTGTTATTTAACACTAATTTTATTAATTGATTAATTCTATGTGAAGAGCCCAGACTATGGGCATACATTCTATGCGGGTTAATTTAAATTCACTGTCCTAAATTTATTGAGGGATACATATTGTTAACATCCAGTAGTGGCATCCTATAGTTTTCCTTCATAACAATTGGTCAGTGTTTGTAATGCTATACACAGATACAGGTAATTTCAAGGTTATACAGCAAATATTTTTGAATATCTATCAAAGGACAATATGCCACAGGATTCACTCTAAAACTTATTTTCAGAATGTCATTACCAAAACATTTAATATCTTTAGCAGTGTTGTTATAAATAATTTTTCAAAACTTAAAGATCTTTATAACTTCCATTTTTTAATATTATGTTATTATAATTATGTTTAGTGAAGACTATTGTTTGTTTTGCTTTATCAGCATTTGTTAATATTAGAGTAAATAATGTTTATAATATTATTTTCTAAAAATTCTTTTTTTTTTTACCTATAATTTTTCACTAACGATTGGATATTGTTTCTAACAGATTGAACTTTTTGATGGTCATGATTAATTAAACCTGCCTCTAAATCTACTACAGTTTTCATTTTATTTAAAGGGGTGGGTCCATTAAAATCTAATTCCAATATCAGATTATCTCTTAGTGATGTAGAGATCCCACATGATATATGATAAAGTACCAATTTGTTTTTCCACTGTTCTTTAGGATACCCTTTATAGTTTTTAAATATTCTTCACAATTCTTATACCGTTTCCCAATGTCCTTTAAAAAGAAAATTTAAAAAATTAGGGAGCAATTTAGTTTTTTAATTTTATACTAAAATCATTACATTAACTTTTGTAGAGACCAAAATATAACTTTGAGTGCCGAAGAGAGAGAGGTACACCTTAGTCCCTGAAGGACCTTGGCCTCATCCAGGATTTTCACCCACTCCTCTCTATCTTGGGATCCCTTTCCAGCAACTCGCACCCATCTTTCTCAAATCATCCTCTTCCCATCTCTTCTTCTGTACATCTGTACAACAATATTTTTTCTCTCAGGTTCCATCTGTTCTAAATGTCCAATCCAACAAAATCTCCCTTTTTTAATTTCTGTTACAATATTAGGATTTTCAAATAAATCTTTGAGTTCTTTATTACTTCTAATTCTCCACTGGTCCATATATTCTACTCAGAATTTTCCTTTCAAATCTTCTCAACTGTTCTTCATGTTTTCTTGTATGGCTCCGAAACTTGGACACTGACATGATTACAGGTATTATAATAGTTTTATATATTCTAATCTTACTGCATCTTGATATTTCTTTAGATGTTGTAATTCTTCTTAATGTATAATAGCTTTTATTTCCTCATCAATTTCATTCTTTTCCATTAACTGTGCTCCTAAGTATTGAAATTTATTCACTTTTTTGAATTTATGGTCCTTTATATGTAGAGTTTGTCCCCTTTACCACTGGCATTCTTTCCTTGTTAATGTCATATTTGTTTTTTCATTGTTAACTGCTAAGCCTTTATCTATAGCTGTGTCATCCATTATTTTAAATATCTCCTCAATTAATTCTTTAGATCTTCCCAATATAACAATATCATTGGCAAATGCTAAGCACTGTAAATGTTTATTGAAAACCGTTCCACTTGCATCCACATTCATTTTTTCATATACTTTTCTCATTACCACTTCTAATACCAAGTTAAATAAAACTGTAGAAAGTGCATCTCCCTGCTTAAGCCCTTTCTTTATTGAAAATGTTCTTGAAATATATCCCTGGATCTTAATCATACCCTCAGTCTTTCCTAAAGTTAACTTTGTGAGGGATTCCCAAACTTTCTCTCTTCTTATACTATCATAAGCTTTCCTGTAATCAATAAAAAGTTGGTGTATCTCAATATTATATTCGTAGCATTTCTCTAGAATCAGTCTTAGTGTAGAAATCTGATCTATAGTTGATCTGTTTTTTCTAAAACTGCATTGATAATCTCCCACAGCTTTTTCCATGTATACTGCCAACCTTTTTGCTATTACTTTTGAAAAAATTTTATACACTATATTCAGTAAAGTTATTTCTCTGTAGTTACTACAATCTAATTTACCCAATTCACAAAAAAGGAGATAAATTATTCCTCTATTCCAGCTTTGTGGCATCTGTTCTTTTTTCCAGATTTTCCTAACCAGCTTGCCTAACTCCAGTTCCAATTTCACACCTCCTGCTTTTATCATTTCTGACACTAAAGAGCAACAAGGATCCCGGAGAGGATGGAATAAAGTTGTTATTGCTCATCTCAATTCTGTTAGTCTTGGATATTCACAACCCCATTTGCACTTTCTTCTCCTTCTTCATCAGAACCAACTTCTGTGTCCTCATCTTCTATTAGTGTGTCCATTTGACCCTCAAATGATCCTACTCCTTCGTTTAGTAGTTCTTCAAAATATTCAGCCCATCTATCCAAAATTTTATTTTTCTCACTGAGTTCTCCTTCTTTCCCTCTACAGAAACCAATTTTTGGTTGAAACCCTTTCTTCTCTTTCTTAATATCTGTATAAAATTTTCTCATTTCTTTGGATAAATGTAAAGTTAATTCTCTTTTTTTCTTCCTGCACAATTTAGATGCCAGTCTTCTCTTCGAAGTCTTTGATATTGCTTTCAGATTTGTTTTGGATAATCTTTATCCTTGCATTTCTTCTTTCCTCTAATGTATCCCTACAATCTGAATCAAACCAATTGTTTTTCCTTCTCTTTCTACTTTTACCAAGTACTTCTGCTGCTGTTGTGATGACACTCGATCTTATATCTTCCCACCTTCCTTTGATGTTTCTTGGTCTCTGCCTTCATCAGGTTTTGTTCGAGCACCCGCTGATATTTAATTTTGATTTCATTCTGCTTTAAAGATTCAACTTCATATCTTATAACACTATTTGCCCTTCTAGGTTTGATTGATATTTTTTGTCTATAGTTTGTCCTCACTAAGTAGTGGTCTGTGCTACAGTCTGACCTTCAATAAGATCTTGCATCAATAAGTATATGGTCAATTTGGTTTACAGTATCACCACCCAGTGAAGTCCATGTACCTAAATGTATTCTTTTATGAGGAAACATTGTTGTAGTAACCACCATATTATGTCCTGAAGCTAGATCTACTACTCATTTTCTGTTGTCGTTGCTATTTCTTCCAATGACTCCTTGATGTACTACTACTCTTCTAATTTTAGCATTCCAATCCCCAAGAATTAGTTTAACATCACGTTTTGGTACTGTCTCTAGAACTTCCTCTAACTGACAATAAAATTCAACTTTTATCTCTTCACTCTTCTCCTCCATTGGTGCATGAACACTAATCATTGTGATGTTAGAAAATCTTCCCTTTATATGTATGGTGGCTATCCTTTCATTAATGAATTGATAATTCAAATAGAATATTGCAATTCCCTTTTAATCATAAATCCAGTTTCCAACTGGCCATCTTCACAACCACTATAAAATATCAAATACTTCTCCCCCTCTAATATACCACTGTCTTTCCAATGTATTTCCTGAATAGAAGCAATTGTTATGTTATATTGTTCTAGCACTCTCTGAAGAATTTGAAATTGACCAACCCGGAATAAACTTCTAACATTCCAAGTACCTATTACTATGACATTTTTCCTCACCTTTTTCTTCCCATCATTCTTTTTGCTTCTATTTCCATTCATAAAAATCATATTGCATTCCATCTCATTAACCTTTCTGTTCGTATGATCAGTATCCCTTTTAGAGCCATCCGGTGAGCTTCCTGGTTGTCTTTACAAGAAATTTTTACAAGGTAGGGGTGTAAACCCGATGCTCAACCCCCATTTCGGAGGACCATTTCTCCTGTCCCTTTAATCTAGCCACCGTATGAATATGGCTTATGTTCAAAATTTTTCAAGATATGGTTCATTAGTTCGAAATTCGAATGAGTGGCGCTATGTCTATATTTAACCTATTAATTTGACTAAGGATTACTTCTAGTCTACCTTGATATTTAGGCATAGTTATTTTACATAATAAATGATGCTTTTAGCCCACAACTTTAGATAGCCTAATAAACAATTTGGAGGGCTTGTCACACCAAGGCCAGATTTTTTACAAAAAACTTAGTCTTTAATAATCACCTTCAAATTTATGTAAGGCTGCATTTCGGGTACAAGGACCCCTTTTTTGTAAAAGATCTCGACTTTTTTCTGTCAGCCTTGGTGTGATAAGCCCTTCAAATTGTTAAATCCTATTTATTAGGCTATCTAAACAAATTTTCAGTTACGAAATATAAACTGATCTTGTTATATAAATCTTATAAAATATCCAAAATAATAAATATACTATACTTTTATCATCTGATGATGATAATAGTATAGTATATTTATTATTTAGTCAAATCTATAGAATTAATTTTAAACATAATAGAATTTACCTAGCTAATATAGATCTAAAAGCAGTAATTAATTAATTATTTATTTATTGTTAAATATAAATTCATTTACTCCATCTGACATTGAAATAAAAATAGAATTAAAAAAAAATTAAGTATACACAATAAATTTATGTCACATCTTTATATTAACTACTACAATGAACTTTACATTTAATAAAATTAATTTTTTCCTCTGCATTGCAGCTTATAGTTTAAAAACACACTATATTGTTCATAAGATCAACTAAAAATGAGATTAAAGTTTTGTTTTGAAAACTTTGAGATTTTTGTGTATTACATTTCAACTGATTTGATGTTTTTACCTGAAATGTTAAAAAAATTCTTTTATTGAGTTATATTTTTGATTATACAGTCCTTCCAACAGTAATAGAGAGTTTCTAGGAAATCACTGTATGTACTATTATTTCCATGTAACTTAGATATTATCATTTTTCTCCAAACTTAGCAAAATATCAACAATTACTGCATATCAAACTCTTTTGTTTATTAATCATGAAAAATAGAATGTCCAACATTAATAGAACATGATTGTAATTTTAAGCAAATTTCGTGGATTGCAATCATTACAAGTGGAAAGAAAGATTTAGTAAATTGCATAATACCTTACTATTAAAAATGGGATGTGGGAAGGACCTAACTGTAGAAGAGATCAAAATTGATATTTCACCAGGAAGGGAGAAAAGTAACTTGAATTGCTAAAAATTAGTTTAGTTTGAGATTGTTGAACAAGGTCTTCTCAATCTCAATAATGAGGAGCAACAAACAGGAAAATGAAACAGTGGGTGCAAGAGTTCAACAATACCTAGAGAATAACGTGCAATTGTTTGATGTGCACTGCAAGGAAACGCATTCATTCAAAAAATCAAAATCAATTGAAGCTGAGCTGCAGTAAATCAACAGTAAATGATGTTTTGAGATTGATATGGATAAAGTTCACATGAAATGGAACTGGATATTATGGATCAGCAGACAATGTTTCTTTCATCGAAATGAAGACAGGCAACCAGCTCGGGGAGAACATGCATAGTTTAATTACAGTTTGCCAGAAACTACTTTAAAAGAAGGGAAGGATGAGAAAAAGTGGAATCTTAATGGACCTGATGGTTTTAAGTTTTATTGAGCAGACAAAAGACTAGATCAAAAACAGTACTCAGAGTGGCTGGTGGTAGGTACACTCGTGACTTGGGCAGGGATTGGACGGAATGGAAAGATAGATATAGTATTTATTGAAGGTTGAAACAACTCTCAAGCATATCAGTAGCAAAATCAGCTACTAATTTTAAAGATATCATAAGTCAAGATGTTCTATTAATGTTGGACATTTGATTTTTGTTAATGGTATCTAGCTCTTTGGAGAAAAATGATTAATAAACAAAACTTGTGCAATAATTGTCGATATCTTACTATTTAATGAAATTTTCTAGAACAGTGACATGAAAATAATACAGTGATTGCCTAGAAAGTCTGTTCTATTATTGTTGGAAAGACTGTAGAAAAATCAATATGAAATAATTGAAATTTTATTTAAACCTTACACTTGAAGTATTATCTCAATAATAAGGTTTAAATTAATTATATTTTTTTTTTTTTTTTTATTAGGAACCAGAATAATAAATGGATTTAATTCAGATGGCTCAGCTTGTGTGAATGTTGTCAGTCTTGTTGTTGCTTGTATCTTATTTTTAATTGCTCAACTCATATTATTATTAGTTTGGTTCTTTGTCTGTCAAAGACAGAGAAGAACAAAATTTCATGATGATGTGACAAGAGGATTTGATGCTATATATACAACAAACAGAAGTGAGTTTACATCTTAGTTATTATATAATTATCATAGTTTCAATAAAATTATCTAATAACTATATTTAATTTCTTAGGAGAAAATAGTCAAATTGAACAATATGCTTATGATAATCCAACAGAAGCTGGAGAATCAGATGTAAATCTTTCTGCTCCTCAATGAAGAAATTTTCCAGTATGTATAAATGTCTATTAATCTTTTTATTTATTACTATAATTTAAATAAATAAAATATTTTGTTTTTTTTAGTCTTCATTCAAACATGGTGCAATTAATAACTACAACCAGTCAAGAGAATTAACTTATAAACTTGCTACTTGATGCAGTGCAATCTTTTTGGACTGAGTTGTTTTACGGACTTTAAAGAGATTTGACACATTTTCAGAGAGTTTTTATTCTTTGGGTGTGTTTGTGCCAATCTCCCAATTAAGAGGAGCTCGCCTCACATATTGAAATCTAAATCAAGAGCCTGCAGGTTAGGCTATACAAACATCAATCTTCTTGGACTTTAAACTGATGAACAGTTTATATTATTTTGTTGCAACTATTTTTGATACTTCTTTAATAAATATATATCAATCAATCCAACTGAACTTAAAACTCATTCTATGACTCAAGAGTCAAATGCCAAGAATGGTTATAAAAATGCTCAAAATTAGAAGAAATTATCAGATGTCTGTTTTGATCAAAAAACTTTATGCTTCTGAATTTAATTGGTATGACAATTTTTCTGTACAAAAACTGACTTTTGTAAGAATGCTGTCTTGTTATGTTAAACATGTTTTGGTGTGGAATTAACAAGTGTAAATGAAAAATAAATATTTATTACAAAAATGCTGACTTAAACATTTAAACAATAGTTTCTATACAGAAATACCAGATTGTGAAATAATGGTGTTTTTTGTCTTATCATTTTATTGAAAAATGTTTATGAAATAATACTTACCATTGCAATTCATTTAAAACTTTAAAAATATAATATGTCTTACTCTTATAAATATAAAAAAAATTCATCTCTTGGCATGCCTACATGCAGGAAATTGCAACACTAACACACATTATGCACAGTGCATTTTACATAAAAGGAATATAGCTGGCTAGAAAATAATAAATTTTTGTAAAATTTTTAACTATTTTCTTATGGTAATATTTAAAACAAAATATAATTTGCCTGTGGTTTTAATGACCTTGTGGCTTTGATGAATTGATTTGGATTTACAAGTCATTAATCTTATCTTTTGATCTTAAAATCTCAAGGTTTAGAATACTGTTTCATAGAACCTTGACTTCTCGATCTATAGTTTTTTTACACAATAACACTATTGTTTTTTCCTGATTTATATCTTGAATGTGTTCTCCAATACAGTATATATTTTGAGACTTCTTACATAATGCTGTTATCTTCATTTATAATTGGAAAATTATTATATACCTCACTTTTATAATGGAAGATATTATATAATAACAAACAGCACCCTCTTTTTGTAAAGTAATAATAATAATAATAGAAATGTTCAAATCATGTTCTATTTTTTAAATCCTTCCTAAAAGCACCAGAATAACATTAAATTTCTTAAACTCAAACTCTAAGAAAGCATTATATACTGAACTATATTTTAGTTTATAAGGAATGCAATAAAAATGAGTGGCTTTAAAACTCTCCAATAAGTATTTAAATAAAATATATTATTTACATAAGGCAAAAAGCCACCACATAGTAATAATAGAAAACCAATCAAAATTAAAAAAAATACAAAACAAGAAACAAGCAATTATTTATTGTGACATTACAAATTGCAGCCCAGCATTATGACAATTTATTTAATTTAAAATATAAGTTCTCCACTTCAAATTAGTAGTGGCTTGCCTCTGTACATAATACTTTTCCTTTAATAGAGTTGTGCCAGTCATCTATCTAACAACTTTCAGGGGAAATTTTTTTGAACTGAAATAACGTGACTTCTGGTTTGCATTGGAAGTTCATATATAGTTAATTGGGGCCTCCTGCCTCTAACTTATTGACCAGATATTGAAACCTTAAATAATTTTTGGACATAAAATATTCTAAATCTCATATAGTTAAATTCATATATGATTATGTTGGTATTTTATTATAATAGTTTGGAAATTTTTTTTTCATTTATAAAATGGAGTAATTTAATTGTGTAATTCTACAGTTCATTCCCATTTGATCTACAGTAACGTAAACATTCTTTGAAAAGAGTCAAAATAATCTATTATTATTATTATAACATCTATTAGAAAAACTATTTACTGAATAGTTCAATAACAAAATTTCTAATAAGAGTTTTATTTGACACCTGAACTGCTACAAATAACACTATTGGTGTATCCAAGACCGCTAACAATCTCATCCAAGGAATTCACACAAGTTAAATAAAACTTTGTTACTGTTCGTAAGAACAAATACACAGGAGCAAGAAAACATATACCTTACTTGCCTCGCATCGAGGAGGGGAAAAAAAGGTTCAAGAGTCATGTGCGATAACATCACAAAAGTTCACCAATCAGGAATGACTGGTTTTACTTATAATGTGATTGACTCCAATCAATAAACTACCACATATTAATAAATATCTCTAATTAGGTTTCCTTAAAAATTTAAATAAATCAAATAAATAAAGTTAAAATCATTTAATTAAAGAAATCTAATAATTGATTAAATTTAGATTTAATTCTATGCATGAAAAGCTAGAACTTCTGTAAATAAGTAATATAAAACCTTTGACAGTGTCAAAGGTTTTATATTACTTATTTACACAAATTTAGACTTAGTTATTACAGGAAACTAAGATAACTATTTAATATAAATTACAGTTCTTTACTAAATTTTTCCATTTAATTACCTTATTAATTCAGTTTTTTAACTTTTTAATGTGTTACTTTTACAAAGTGAAAATATAAATAACCAGTAATGACAATTTTAATTTTCTCAAAATCTGATTAAAATGCAAAAAATGAAATATTGACTTACATGATTAAATGATCACCTTATTTGAAAATGTATCATCATCTATTTTACTCTAAAAAAAGGCAAACAAAAGTTAGTAGTAACAGAAAACAGACAAAATGTTTTGTGATCAATTCAACTGTAAATATAATACACTATCATTTAAAAATAAAGCAAAATCTGATTTACCTGTAATTATTTTCAATATATTACTTTAGAATGGTTTATATTTACATTTTTTTGAACATTTTTTGGTAAAACTGAAAATATCCAAATTAATTGAAACCTCGGGCCATTCATATCCAGATAATTGGATTTTTGCTTAAAATAATCATTTTTTCTATAAGAACATCATGTTATGTATGTGTGTACATAATTAAGTGCAAATATAATATTAAACATGGAAATGTACCTACAAATAAACATAAATTTATTATTCTATATTTAGAAAAACATTACTTTTCATGTACATACAATACAGTACATAAACATACACACCTATTTGTGTTTAACTGGATTTTGCTATAAATGGATGAAATCCTGATAATAAAGTATTATATGTACTTTTAGTTTTTAAATTATATTTTTTCACAAATACTTACCTATGAAATAACTCTTAAAACATTAAATTATTTTCAAATGAATGACTCTGTTCATGAGCTATAAATAAGTTTGAAAAAAACTTAGTACATGTTTAATAGCTATTTTTTCCCATCATCATTTTTTTCTTTTCTTTCAAAATGCATAATAGTACATATTCAAATATCAAAGAGTAGAACATTCAATGCTGCAATTCCAAACTGATCCTGAGAATTACAATGAAACTTCAAAAAGTTTTACTTTCCTAAGATCTTATAGAGTATAACATAGGGTATAACCTTAATATAGGGTATTAAGTATTTATTAAATAGCAAATACTATACATTTTAAAAAGATTTAACAAACAAATGTGATGTCTACAATTCCATCTACCGCGTCAGGAAAGCTTTTCCGACCCCACATTGCTATATGAAATTTTGACCCTCCCATTTACTTTGCATTCCTTGATGTCATGACCCTCAAGGACCCCAAAAATACAAAAAAAAAAGTTATGTAATATGTAACAGTCTTGTGTGAGCATCTATTTTCATTATATCTCAGGACTGGATAAATCAAAAATTTTGAAACTTTTCAGGATTATTCCTATATACAGGGTGTCTCAGTTAAACGTTTCAGAAGTTCAAAGAGGAGTAGGGTGCATCCCGACGACTCAGAATCATATAGCAATGCAGGGTCGGAAATGCTTTCCTGAAACAGTGATGTACACAGAAACATCATAGAGAAGAAGACCTTAAGTGAATATTCGTTTTAATAATAAATGTACAAAAACAAAAGGAACATGGGTCAAAGAAAGTGTTCGAAGTTTCTTCCACTGACTGCAATGCAGACCTCACATCTACGGTGCATGGAATTCTGAACATTCTGGAATAATCCAGGCTTATCTCGAATTTCTCCAGCAGCTACTGCAATTCTTGCAACCAGCTCCTCAGCATTGTCAAAGGGGGTGTCATAAACCAGTGTTTTCATATGCCCCAGAAATAAAAATCAAGACATGATGGTGACTGAGCAGGCCAATGCATGGGACCACCGAGTCCGATCCACTGTTGGCCAAATGTGACGTCTACAATGCCATCTACTGCATCAGGAAAGAATTTCCAACCCCATATTGCTATATGATTCCGAGTCATCGTGATGCACCCTACCCCTCTTAGAAGTTCTGAAACGTTTAACTGAAACACCCTGTATATAGTATTGATGGTATTAAAGTTGGGTGTTTAAAGATCAAGGTGATGGGAAGATAGACAGGATCATGTGTCATATCTTGAGTTTGGCTTAACATTTTTACTCATTTTTAGACATTCACAATATTTAAAAAAAGACCGTCAAAATTAAGTCTTTTTTTGCCTTTTTATAGTAATTAATAATATAAACATTTGTTATGAGATTTTATTTAAAAAAACTGATGGCACTACACACAATTTTACCTTCCCAGTTTGAATGCTAAGGAAATCAAGCAAGAATCCTTGTGAGTTTATTATTCTAGCATTTCAGCCAGCACTTAAGTTTCATTCAATAATGAATGTGTTTAATGAAAAGTGAATAAATTTTATATTAAAGATAAGGCTACATTTTAATAATATCTGTCTGTTTCATAAAAACTTAAACAACAATTCAATTTAGAACTTTAACTTTTTTCTTTTCAATATTCTGTTAATTAATGTACGGTACCTATGAACAGTAAAAAAGGTAATAAAATTAATTTAATGCATAGATGAACATTTTTAGTTTCATTTATAAATGGAAAAAATTTTTTGTNAATTTTATTAATTGATTAATTCTATGTGAAGAGCCCAGACTATGGGCATACATTCTATGCGGGTTAATTTAAATTCACTGTCCTAAATTTATTGAGGGATACATATTGTTAACATCCAGTAGTGGCATCCTATAGTTTTCCTTCATAACAATTGGTCAGTGTTTGTAATGCTATACACAGATACAGGTAATTTCAAGGTTATACAGCAAATATTTTTGAATATCTATCAAAGGACAATATGCCACAGGATTCACTCTAAAACTTATTTTCAGAATGTCATTACCAAAACATTTAATATCTTTAGCAGTGTTGTTATAAATAATTTTTCAAAACTTAAAGATCTTTATAACTTCCATTTTTTAATATTATGTTATTATAATTATGTTTAGTGAAGACTATTGTTTGTTTTGCTTTATCAGCATTTGTTAATATTAGAGTAAATAATGTTTATAATATTATTTTCTAAAAATTCTTTTTTTTTTTACCTATAATTTTTCACTAAC